GTGCAGAACACTTTGGAATTCACTGTAGCTATATGCAGGTTATGCTTGGCAAGTTTTCCAAGTGTTCACTGGTAGGAAATGTATACCTTACTTACCAAGTAGGAGGCAATTAATGACGGAAAAATATGTATATGTACTTGTGAGAAAGTTTGAGTAAAGAGATGGGCTATATTTCTTGTTCAAGAGAAACTAATATGAGAATCTATGTTACTCCTGGCTTAGTCTTCCTAAATATAAGGAGAGTGATGAGATTAGGCCTTGTGCACAAGATTACACACAGTACACATGACTAGCACTTAATAGCACAGGATTATACCAATTAAAATTAAAATTAATAAATAAAAGAATCAGCTGAGAATAACTAAAGAGTGACGTCATAGGTAAAATAGAAAATAAGTGCTTAGCATTTCAAAAGCGCTTTCACACCTGTTAATCCTTCAGTCAGTCTAACAGCGTGGTGAGGTATGCATGGCACATCTTGCTGTCATTCCTGTTTTATCACTGAGACTTGCCTAAGGTTGCACAGCTTTTTATAGCTGAGCTAGAAATAGAATGAGCTCTTCTGATAGCATATCCCTAAGACACCGCCTTTCTGTATTTTTCAAGAACAAGCCTGAACATGCATCTAACTGAGATAGAGATTGCAGTACGGCTGTGGCTATAATCATACGTCACTCCTTAGCAAAGACCAGGTTTAGATTGAGTCTTCTTCTGATCATCTCTGCTTGTCCGGACCTTTTATTTCACAAGTTGATCACACAAAGCTTACCAGAATATTCTAAAAGCAATGTTTGAATCTGTCTATCCATTTGCCCATCCATCCATGCATCCAATCAGTAAATTAATTTGTATGTGTATCTGCTTATATTCACCTAATTCACGGGTACACTGTATGTTTCCTCTTCCCTTCCCCAATGCTCAAACTGTATGCCTGACAGTAGAGAAGTACAGGGGCAGGGTGACAATTGCTTGGAACATTAGCTCTGTGTGATAAATTGCTTAGTAATCTCCACAGCACCATCGTGCATATGTTGAAAGTGTTTAGGGCATTGTAACTTGGGAGACTTTCCAATCTTTCATAAATAACCATTAATCTGTCCCTTTTACATTCAGCTTTCTACATCTGTTTCAAATTGTTCAGTAATATTCCAGGAGTGCATTAAAGCTCCAATCCAGGTAGTATTAAGGGGATAAATGAGCTACAGGGAAGAGACACAGTATTTTTCTTAAAGCAATTCCTTCTTATTTTTACAAAGTTAGGAGCCAAGCAATTTATGATTAAGATTTTTGGAGGATATACTATGTCATTTTAAGCCTTCCTTGTCTATGGTTTTAAAAATGCAGTTGTAGCTCTGGCGTCCTGGCGTACATTAACATTTTTCTCTGCATAGGTAGATTGTGAGTCTCATTTATATCAGAAACTCTGAAATAGATTTAATTCACTATGATTCCCTGTGGATTCTTTTTGATGAAAAATGAGGAATAGTTAAAACGTAAGGTCAGTTAGAAATAAATAAGTGCCTGACTGTGCATTTGTATTTGTAATGTTCAGAAATTTAAGAGAAAGTTGTCAATAATTTTAGTTTGATGTAGAGAAAGAATTTATTTTTTTTCTGGGAGAAGACATTGTTATTTTATGAATTTTAATTTATTATTATTTTTCTTGGTGTTTGATTCAATCTATTACCATAAGCAACTTACAATCTATTTCTCAGGTACTTTCCAAAGGAAGTATTTTCTTTAAAACTACCTATTCCGTAATGTTTAAACTTATAAAAGTTAAGCTTACAAAACACAATTCAAAGGTACCCTGCAGAAAAATGCATATGAAGATAGCACCGTGGTATGACACATAATATGAAGAAGAAATATTTTCAGGTTGATCTTGAAGATGTTGAGAAACTCATAGGAATACCAGATAAGAGGTTAACTAAAAGATACTTCTCTATCACTGGCATTTGTAATAAACATAAAAACGATGACAAGCTGATTATCTGACTCAAAATAAAATGTCTACACAGGAATACAAAGAAGTAGGAAATTCAGCTACATGTCTCCCATCAAGGTTAGTAAAAATCTCATAGATGGATCATTGCATTAAGTATACTAAATCATTGGCTTTGAAGATGGTTTATTTCATAGTTACAGCCTGCAGTTCCATCCATGCGTAGGGGATTGACAGCTGCTCCACCCATTAGTATTAATGAATTACCGGCGTACATCCCACACACATCCACCAAGGATCCGAAGACATCCCTCCTACACACTACCTTGTTTTGAATTCTCCAAATGTTGTAGGATGGCTATTTCCTTAATAAGGGTAAATCATCAAATAAAGCACATGTTTCTCTCCTATGCCTAAAACTGATGTCTCACAGAAATGAGCGAGGAATTCTAAATTTATTTATGCATTAACATAGATAATATGATCTCTCACCTCTCTTTCATCTAAGGAATGTGTATAACTATTAAGGAAATGTAACTGTACAACTACAACATTTAGTTTTTTAAAAGTAATTCCGAAAGACCATGGCGGTGGTGAAATTTTTCCCATACTGAGAGACCTCCGGTAATGCCTTGAAATGAGGTGACAAAAACCAAAACGGTTTTTCATATGATGACCACATGTACTATAATCATCAGTTGAGACCCACTGCAGTCTCAGTTTATACCTTTTATCCTGGCATAATTAGTTATTACTACTCATTTCATTCTCAAAAGGTCCTGATTTGGAAAATTGTGTTAATCTAGTTTGGGGGTATTTCTTATACAACCATGGCCCCTTCCTCAACCATCTAGGGTGATTTTAGTTTCATTCATGCCTTTTTATGGACCACTTCTACTACAAAGGAAGAAAGAAAAAACTTGAGAGTCCATATACTTTCATGAATTATGAAATTCTTTTAAAATGTCTCCTACTCTTCGTTCTTTGTGTTCTCATCACTCTCCTGTTGGGTGGCATTGCACTCCCAGAACACTGTCCTTATAAAAAGTGTCAGAGACAGGTCAAGGAATGTCACTATATACAGTGATATTTACATATAGAAACAGGCAGAATAATGCTTTTCAGTGGCTGCCTGTGTAAAAGTGAAGTCACGTATATTTTCTTTTCAGTGAAGAAGCATCATACTCCTTGGTGACATGGGATTCTCAGTTTGAGAAATATCTCAGTTCACACATTCACTGTGATGTGTCCCGAATTGGGTTATAGAATGACTGAGACATTGTCCTTGATCTCAGAGAACTCACTCTTCCAGTAGTGAGAACCGTGTAGTGCAGTAACGGCACATACTGATACCGACGTGTCCTGCAATACTACTGCTCTGTGTAGTACTAAGAGGACATGAAAGTGCACTGGGAGGACAGGCAGCAAATTTGGTCTGGATCTGCAGCTTGGGAAGGTTTCCTGGGAGAGATGATGTAGATGAAGGTGATGTGTGATACAGGTGACGTGTGAACTGAGTTTTGGAGGAAGAACAAAATGAAAGTCAGTGTTGCTTTGAGAACATAAATGGTATTTCACTGGCCGTCATACAGTGTCACAAAACTATCACTGCTGCTCCTGAACTCCACATTCTGTAGAGTGACTTTCTGTTGTTCTTCTAATAAAGAATGGGAGTTGATAGTTCACATTCTTGTAAGAGCCATAACTTTCCAATTTGTTGATAAACCTCCAGCTATCATTTAGATAAATCATTATAAATCTCTCTGGCCTTTCCTCTGCAAAACAGACTTCTTTTAGTACATTCTCAAAGGTCTTGCTTTTCTTTTTCTTTAAGAAAAAATGGTTCATATTACTTTCAGAGTTCACTCAGTGTACAGTTCCCACCTCCCCACCCATGTGTCTTACACTCAGGTAGCTTTGTAGGGCCCACATAGAGGTATGGCTAATGATACTGTCCCCAAATATCATTCTTATTTACTTGTACCTCAGTGATATGCATGTAATAAAGTACCATTGAGCTCTCTGTAAATACAGCTCATTCCACCCAGATAGTCATGCTATAGTTACGCCCTAGTCTGATTCTTCTCTCTCCTGACAATTTCTGCTTTCTGGTTGTACTAATTTCTGTAAGTTCTGTCTTATTATCCCCCCTGACAGCATTATTTCTGATTTTCTGATTCACCTCTGTATGATTATCGTCTAAGTCTCTCATCTGTCTGCATGGGTTATGGATCTTCTCAGCCCATCCTTGATGCTTCTCCCAGTATTTAACTCTCCTACCCGCTCTGTCCATATCTAACCACAGGGCAGTCTCACAGACTTCAGTTCATTAATGTCCTGAGCACCGGTTTCTCCTTTTCCTCTTCCTACTATAACCTCAACTGCAAAGCCATGCCCAACTCTAAGCCATCCTTCACGTCAATGCCATGTATATTCTTCTAAAATACACCATCAGCAGTGATAAAATTCAGATATCATCAGACTGGTTATTGCCACCTTTTAGCTTTATTTTCCACTGTCTTCCTTTGTGAATCCTGATTGTACAGAGGCAGCAAAGAGCTCTCATTAGAAATGTGAGTTGGAATTCTGATCTGGCATTTGTCAGCTGTGTGATTGTGGCTGAATAGTTTACCTTCTCTACATCTCATTTTCCTCATCTATAAAATGGCACTAGTAATTGGGTCTACTGTAAAGGAGAATCATTGTAGGGATAAAGTGGAACCCTTGAGGTCTAGCATACAATAACATTTCAATAATTGTTAGCTATCATTAGATGCTATCTCTATATAGGACTGAGAGATTAAATTGTAACAAAATTAAATGGTATATTGAAAACTAAATTTGGACTATTTTATAGGTATTACCTGAAACCATTGTAAAGTTTAAAATTTAATAAAAGCACCTTCATCTTTGCTTTCTTTCCTGGGCCACAGTAAAGTAATGCTTAGAACTGGGTAAACACATAATTCTGAGGCTGTTAAGTAACAACACTATGTAATCAGTGTTTTGGAATTATCATTTTATCCTCAACCTTGGAATTTCTTTTCTAATTCAGGGTAAAAATTTATCATCAGGAGAGGTTGGATTTTTCCCAAGTGATGCTGTTAAACCTTCACCATGTGTAAGTACTGTTATTTTATGTCTTTCTCATTTTCTTTTCCTTTTGATGCTGTGATTAATTGTGCAAGAATGTACAAAAGATAATGCCAGGTTACTCATTAATTTCATTAATATTTTCTATAAGGATCATATTATTTTAAACATCATTAAGATTAAATTGTCAGAAAATATTTTTAAATGTTAATATATGCAAGAAGAAATTTTAATTTAATAGAATTTACACAAATAAGTTGTCAAAAAGAATTTAGAATTAATTCAAAGCTCTAGATTAGATATATTATATAAGTATCCCATGTCTCACTAAGGTAAGAGTGGTAGGGTCTAATCTATTTTCAGTCATTTAGGTTAGATTAATAATAATCTAACAGACTTCATCTGATGGGAAATAGTAGATTTGAACTGATGTCTTGGAAAGCAAGCTAGGAAGTAAAAAGCCCACAAATTCCTCAACCAAGTCTTTAAAATTTCTGTGTTCTAGTATTCTGTTGCTCCTTATTTAATACCATAATTAAGCTTTCTGATAATATCAAATAATTAAAGTACATATAGTGTACTTTGTGGTATTTCATGATGGTGATAAATTTTTGTTGGGTGTCATGATTTTAGTTTTACAATTTTAGATTGGGGATAGATTTTTCCCAAAAACTTCTTAATTTTCATTTTTAAGTTTTCTAAGTCCAAAGCAAATAAAAATTTTTACTAATATGATGGAGTTGATTGCTTGAAAAAAATCTCTTACCTTTCTAATTTCTTTCTTGTTTGCTAATTTTCCATAGTTCTTGTATTTCTAAAGTAGATATCATTTTTAATATTAAAAATGTGAGGGCCAGGGATTTAGCTCAGTGGCTCCTGTCTGCCTCACAAGTGAAGGTCCTGAGTTCGATCACGGGTACGAATATATATATATATTTTTTGTTTGTTTTTGTTTTTAGATGTGAATGTTTGAGACTCTTGATTTCAAAATGTAATTTCTAAGATACCGTCCTCCAAGCTTTATTATTTTCAAAAGCAAAGGAAATTTAAAAAGAATTTGTTATTCTGTTGGTTTTGTGTTCTAATGTCACTTCTTTGGTCTTGAATGATGTTAAAGGTATGAAAGAAGTTGAAGTATGATACTACTCTTAGTTAATTAGATAAGTAAAAATGATGGTTTGGCTAGTTATCTGTCATTTCTGTGAGTAAGATTCAAGCTGCTTGTCTGAAAAGCCGTGGTGTTTATAGGCATGTTGCAAGAGATTATGCATTTTGACATTAAGATGTTTGAGAATTTAAGACGACAAATAAAGACTATTAAGCATTTCATATACCAAATTTTATTATCTGTTTATGGCTTTTTAGTATAGCACAAAATGAGCATGTAATGTTTTATTTTAGTGATAGTCTGGCATAAGGTAGATATTTAAAAGTTATTGTAGAGTGAATGAACAAAGGAACGAGAAAGCAAATCTCTAATTATATATAATATTAGATGCTAGTAAAATCAGCTGAAGAATCCTGTGGAATAATATTTGGCAACCCAATAAATGACTAGAAAGAGAGAGAGATTTAAAATGATAAGCAGTTGTAGAATAATGCAGAATTATAGGTAAAGCAATCAAATAAATATGGTTGTTTTATACTTTAAAGTTAATAAGGAGCCATCAAAATTTTACTGCTTAATTGATGAAATTATATATTTTTTGTTGATTGTATGACAAGTTAAGTGAAAAATAAATAGAGGGAGTTAAAGGAGAAAAAATAGAGGGAGTTTGGACAATGCTATTGTTTTTAGCCTGGAATATAATTGCTATCAGAGGTCCATGACTAGTGCTGAACATTTCATTCTGATCTTAAAAATTATTTTCCTGAATATGCTATGCTGGTCTCAAAAGTTCTGATGTACATAAGTAGGAACCTAGAATAGGGGAAAACACTAGAGACACAAAAATGAGACTGTGTATTATGGGAAACTTAACAACTGGAAATAGCCTGGAGCTACAGCGTAGTGCAAACATGGTTATCTGCTTGAATCTAGGAGCCCTCAGTGAGTGAGGTAGGGGAAAAATACCACAGAATAACACACTGCTTACTCTTGTCTTGGCTCTGGATTGAGCAGGAAAGAAAATAAAAAAACAAAAAAAAAACACTTTTTTGAGAAGAATTACTCTCCTTATATCCAAAAATTCATCCAAATGTCAGCCTGGAATTTCTCCTAGCTCTATGATCTAATATTGTAAGCTAGAGATATAGTTTTAAATTATTCTACATGGATCCCAAGGAAAAGCCCAGGTTCTCTCTGAGTCGGAGCCTTTTTACACATAGTCCTCAAAGAATTTTTACAGATGAAGTCCCAGCAAAATATATTCACCAGTTGCTATTATTAAATTTCTGAAAAAACAGACCATTTTAAGATAAGATCAACAGAAATAATAAAACATAGTTTGTACCCCACCCCAGGACAGCAGATATTGGAATGACTTGTTACTAAATTCAGAATTTTATATTTATTATGGCTGAAGAAATAAGAAAAGGATTAAATATCTAAGAGGAAAACAAGACACATTCAGATCAGCATACTTCACATTCAATAATTGAATTCAAGGCCTTAACAGGAACACTATATGCCACATCAAATACAGTTTGAAGAAGATTAGAAAAAATATATGAAGAAATGTCTCAGAGAACTGTTTAAAGGGATTAAGAAATGGAAAATGTAACAGAATAATAAGATTCAAATACATTTAGTAGGAGAGATTAAGATAATTCTGAAGCAAGTCAATTAAGTAATGACTGATTTCTTTCCAGAATCTATGATAAAATTAATATTAATAATAAAAAGGTATATTAAAATTAATGAACATCTTGACACATTTTAATGAAACTTGAAGACATTAAAGACAAATATTAAAACCATCCTAAGAAAGAGTGCCTATGAACAGTTGATAAGATACACAGGTAAAAGCAGCAGTAATGAAAGCAACAAGTTACTTCTGGAAAATTTCATTTAGCTCCTTTTATTCCATACCTTTCACGGATAACATCTATACGCTTTGGACACAAAATAAAGATAAAACAAAAGTGCCTGTGAAGGCACTGGCTAGGAACAGCAGACAATTGGAAAAGGGCATTAATTAAGTGAGTTTCCTGGTTTATGGCTAACCTGAGGGCAGTGACTAGGTTGTAGCTTTCTGTGGGTGGAATTCATAAAGAATCCATGTGACATTTTTGGCTTGAAGAACCAGAACATGGAGTTTGAAGTAACCACAGCAGCTGGAAAGGGAGACAGGAAAGAACAAGAGAGGAACCTCAAATTCTGTATATAAACTTTACCTAAGCCTCTGGTGAATGGGGAAATTCTGAACTGTTTAGCCTACATTGAGAGAACCAAACTGAGAATTCATCACTGTCACTTACCACCAGAGGTATAGACTCGAGTTCAGCCAGGTTAGGTAACTGCTTTAAGAAAAAGCACGTTCTTTGTAGTAGAATGGAATCCAAAATTTCAATTTAAATAATAGTATATCATTCACATTATTCCAGATATAATCTGAATTATTCAGTGTACAAGGAAATAGGAAAACATGAATCACACTGAAAAGAAAAAGCAGTTGATGGAGATCTACCTTGAAATGATCTACATGATGGAATTAGCAGGAAAAGATTTTAAAAGGCAACTATTATAACTGTAAGGAAAGTGTATTCATAATGAGTAAATAGACAAGAAGCCTTAGCAGAGAAATAGGAACTATAAAAAAAAAAACCTAGTGGAGATTCTGGAACATGAAATTATAATATTTGAAATAGTAAGAATAGGTTGAATGTTTTAAGAGAAGAAAATTGTTATCAGTTTAAAGTTTAACTCTCCTAAATAATGGCACTTCTAGCAAACTGAGAATCATTTCTAATTGTCCCTCCTGTATGATGTACTCAGGATTAACATATCATTTGAACTGTATATCCAGTAAGATTTTTTTAAAACTATAGCAGAATTTTAATGACATAAACTGCCTAAAGAGAAGTCAGAAAGTGGCACTAGGCAATAATAGCAATTATAAAAGATGAAAGTACCCAGAAGGAAAGTATCCATAGTCTTAAATATGAAGCATCTATCAAGACAAGGACCCAAAGTACACAGAGGAGAAAAAGGGGAGGCCCCACGACAGAAGAGAATAGAACCTCACTTTAGTTACGAGGATCCTGGACAAGAAAGTAGTCTTGTATCTTCAAGTATCAAAATATACTCGCTAAAGAGAGGAAAAGCCCCACAGAACACTTCAGGCTGGAATAACCAGTTATCTCTTCTGCTGTGGAATTGTGTATCACCTTAAACTTTCTGGGTCTCTAGCAATCAAAGGAATCCACAGCACCAGACTGTGGTAAAGTTTCTGTCTCTGTCTCTGTCTCTCTTGTAGAGATAAGAGAAAGAGGAAAGATTATTTTTCTTTTTCATTTCAGAAACCATGTGTATCTTATCAAAAGGGGAAATGTTGAAGATCAATTTATATTTCCAAAACCAAAATGATATGAAAAATTTGCAGAATTTAGTGGATATTTTACCTTCAGTAATTGCTATGTATCATGATTTTACAAAGTGTTGCTATTATAAATATAACTCATAGATTAAAAATATTTAAACATCAATAGCTATAGGAATGTTCTGGCCAAAACAGTATTTTTCCAATATATAACTTTGGAAGAGCAAAATTATATCAATCAGTTTGTTATGAAAACTAGCATATCTAGAAACATGGTTTACAATTAAAAGTAAAGATGATAGATTTTTTTTTTTTTATACTGGGGATGGAACTCAGGGCCTTGCTCTTGTGAAGCAGGCAGCGGAATCATTGAGCTAAATTTCCAGCCCAATACGGTAGAACTTTTAATCAACCAACATATAAAGACCAGGAATACTGTAGAATGTATATGTAAAGACCTAGATAACTCATGAAAATTTTCTTAACACAAGAAAATTTATACTCCATCTTGTGTGAGGAACTTACAAGTTGTCTCCCTCTCTACAGTATATATTTTGTTATTTTATGAATGCTAGTGTATCTCTTTAGACTTTGTTCTTTATTGCTTACCATCAACAGCTAGAAGAAATGTTGTTTCTTTATATGCTCAGAAAATGCAACATTTTTCTCTTGTGTAAAGCTCTATATGAGAAAAAGGAAAATGAATTTTTTCTGGAAAAAAAAAAGGTTATCCAGTTGGGAGATTTTAAAAGAATTTAGAATTTGTGTTACTTGATTCGGTCTACACCCTGTGTATATTGTTTATTTTGCATATTTTCCCAATGTCTTGGGAAAGTGAAGTGCTATTTGATGTCCTTAATAACATTTTCATTTTAGTTTTCTATGATAAGATTAAATTGCCTTGATAGTAAATATTGAAAGTTTCTAGTTTGTATTTTCCTGCTATCTTCCCCCTTGGAGGTACAGTGGCAGTAACATGAATGAAAGAAAGAATTAAAGTGAAATGAATTATTTTCTACTTATCTGACATATACTATGATTCATTCTGTACAGAATTACCAATGGGTAGTTCCAGGACTCTGCTACTTAAGGTTTTTATAGAGCTGAGTCAGCTGAACTGAATTAATGATTGATTTCTAAAAGCTTCCCTTAAGTAAACTTAAATCTATTTTTGCCTTTTTATATTGTAGGTGCCCAAACCGGTAGATTATTCTTGCCAACCCTGGTAAGTATTAAAAATGTTTATGTAGCTAAGTTGAAATATCATACCCTTAGCTTGAGGACGCCTTAGTAGTAAACCATGTTCTATTTCCATTTGTCCTGGCTGAAGGTATATTCAGATGTAACAAAACACTATAGTGAATCCATATATTGCTGACCTTTCTGTATCTTTATCAGAGAATGGTGTGTGGGTGCGTTCTTGTGCATATGAGTGTACTTGATTATAAACTACAAGTTTATATAACAGCCACGGAAAGAAATGGGACATAGGCACATATGTATTGTGTATACAGAAAGATAAACTTCATTAAGCAGAAATATAATGAGTGATTGATTCCATTATTTGAAACTAAGAATTAGCTCATGAGGATAGTAGGTTCTAAAAATGAAATTTACAACTTGTAATTTAGAAGCAATGCAACATATCCGTGTCTGTGTGGGTCTAGGTGGAACACACTTTTCATTTATAGGCTGGCAATATAATTAACAGAACCAAAAATGTAGGCAGAGGGTGATTATTATTTTTTAGATATCTTCAACTTGTAAAAATTATATTTATGATCCAGAATAGGTACAACCATCCCCATCTCAAAATAACTAATACATACTGATGATTTAGGATGTGTTCAGTGTATTACATGCTTTGTTTCATTTCCCCCCCCAACCTTTACATAAGGAAGATTGTTGAAATACACTATTATTATTACAGTTAAGGAAAGAAAGGTTAAGGCCATGCAATTTGTGAGTGGTAGCGAGGATTCCAAATTATACCATCTGCACATTGCTGTACATTGCCCCCCCATCTCAAAACCTGGCATATTACTCATTTATATTTATTACCCTGAATTTGTGTTTAATCCTTTAAAAATGACTGAATGTGTTTTTTCCTGATGTTTAAACACATGCATACAAATCAAAGATGAGGCTATAAATATAAATGAAGTATCCTAATATACTGTAATGCAATTTCAAGTTTAGTTTTCACCAGATATTTGTCAGATATTTTAAAAATAATTTTATTATTTTTTGTTCTGTGATCAAAATATGCAAAACACCAGGCTAACTTCTCAATAAATAGGAATCTGTTGCCCAAGGTATGAAAATTTTCACCCTTAGGCCATCTCACTGTCTCTCTGCAGTCACTTCTGCCTTTATAGTCATTACCTGTCCTCTCTGCTATATTCCTCTGGGCCTCAGCACTGAGCTTGCTCAAGAAATTGTAGCAGGTTTGTGATAGAACTGGGAGTCCTTGCTACATTTCTTACCTGACACAGGACCATTTTGAAGCCCTAGTTTCTGTGAAATTAAAAGCTATAGTCTTGACAGGAATTAAATGTGGGTGCTTGAGCTAATAGTATGGACAATCAAACTGAAAAAATAACAACTTGATAAAAATCATGAAAGTATAGTGATTCCTTCTCTTCTTTCTATTTTCATGTTACTAGGCTTTATTGTCACAAAGGTCTTGATTTTAGAGATAAATACTAATGCTGCAAACTACATAGATTTATGAAATAAGCTCATCAGGTGCCTAGGAAGCACTCAGGGCACAGAGGATGGATTTTGTACCTTTTGTTTTAAAAGGTACCTTTGGCAATATGGGAAATTCTATTGAAAATATGATGTTAGAATAGCATTATTCACAATAGTAAAAAATCAAGATGTTGAGACAAAGGAAGAGCCTTAAAAAGAGGAAGCAATAAAGATATTTCATGGTGGAGTTTTAAAATTACTTTTTTTTTCTTTTGACTAACCTGGAGAGTTTATTCAAACTAAGCAGACAGTTTCATGTGAGATGTCTTCTGCTAGGGAACAAAATGATCAACTACACCAGAAAATGGAACCATCAATTTTTGATATACTAAACTGTTTAAAGAAAATTACACTGAACAATGGCATGATTATTCTCAAATCATTGAGAAGTTGAATATGCACCTTGACTATATTTTCTGTTTATTATTTCCCTATTCAAAGGGAGGTTCTTCAAATAAAATAAATTTTGTCTCATAAATATAGGCCATAAAATAAAATGTAAAATCAAAGTGATTGCTTTCAATAATTTATGTTTTAGAATTTCAAAGACAGGGAACTTTTTCAAAACTGGTGGACTATCTGAAAATCTGTATGTAGAACAGAAATCTGTGCCAAAGCCTCGTCCCATTCTCCAGGAAGTCAGCAACTTGATTTTTTGTATCTTGCAGGAGACACCGGAGTTAGAAGGTATACGATGAAAGAGAAGCACACAGGCCCCAGATTTTGGAGGATAGGGAAATGCCACACTGAAAACAGGGGTGGAATTAGGGAAGATTTACCTACTGAAAAAGACAGTGCTCTCCAGTTCCTTTTTATGGCTCACTTCCAGCCCTGTGATAGCCTCGCTTGCATATAACACCGTTCCTTGTACCCAGACAGGACTTTGGAGAATTTTGTCTAAATAAACTACATGGGCTCAGAACAAAAAAACGACAACAAATAAAACTTTCTCACTTGTATATTATCCAGCCCAGTTGTTAGATTTGCCGAGTGATCAGGCTCCTACCGAGTGACCTACCTGTGTACCCACATATTCAACTTCTAATAATTACTCAGATGCCTCCTTCTTAAATATAAGCCAGTAACAAGGATAACTAGGCATTTGAGAAAAGCCTTGAAATATATAAGACATAAAGTAAATTTAGAAAAGAAACTTGAAAATAGACATTAAAGTGAGCAGATTTTAAAAATAAAACCCTTTTACATACAATTTCAAAGTTAAGAGAAGATATCACATTGTGGTAAGTGACCTGGATATTTTATAAAAGGAACAATCAGAATAAGAATGAACTGTTATATATTATTATACAAGAGTTGAATAATAATGTTTATTTTAAAAAATCAAAGATATATATAATATTGGGAGAAAAGATATGGAAAATAGACTATTGATCCGGGAAGTACACATTCGACTAGTAGGAATCCCAGAAAGAGAATAGTGAGGACAGTAACTGTCAAAGAAATAGGACAATTTTTTTTCCTCAGGCCTGAAGGATTTACCTTTCTGAACTAGAAATACTACTGAAAACACAGGATAATATGAGAAAGCACATTATCATGGAATTTTTGGTAAATATAGAATATTTTCTATAGAGAATATAGGGCAATACAAAGAACACAGAAAAAACAATCTGAAGGTTTCCAAGGAAAGGAAAAATCAATTTACAACTAAATAGTCTGAAATATGAATGGCGTTGAATGGAAATTAGAAGGCAATGAAACAATGTCATAATATTTGAGAGACAAAAGAATTTTTTACTTAGAATTCTATAACCAGCTGTAGTATGAGTTGAGTGTTAGATAAAATGAAATATTTTCATAAATGTAGGTATTTAGAATATTACATCTCATGTATCCATTTACAGAAAACCAAAAGAATGAGCTAGCAAACTAAGGAAGAGGAAGATGCTAAGTCCAAGAAAGAGGAGCAAAAAGCAATCTCGAGGCTACAGTAGTTAAGCAGGATAGGAGGGCAGGCAGTATCAACTAGACTGAGAAAGCCGAGGGCTTATGAGAAATAGCTGCAATGTAAAATATTAACAGATAAAAGTATGTGATGTTGAGAAATACACTGTTGGGAATTTTATTTGGAAATAACTTGTGATGTAATCGAAAAAAAGAGTTTGAGCAAACAAAAAATTAAGTTATTGTTTTTTGAAGATCAGTTACTCTTTCAATGTGATGATGTGCTAAAATTGGGCCAGATGGTGGTTTGTGTCTGTGAAGGTTGTAAAAGACAAGAATGAAGACTAGCACTGTGAAGGAGTACTAGTGTCAGGAGAAAAATGATTTTACTTCCTTATGTCTAGAATTGATAAAGTAAGAAATATAGTATGTAAACATTTTATGATATGCAAGTATTAATGAAAAGAAAAATACTTGGAATGAGGCTTGAAGTAGAATGTTGGTATGATGGAGTGCTTATCTTTTTATTATAATCATTAGAGTATGGCTTTCCTTTTTAGACTGTGTTTTTACTACTTTGATAAATATACATACACTGTCCTAACTGTGACGATAGGGTGTGGTAAAGAGAATAATAGAGTGGAAGGTACAAAATGAAGGACAACTTTCTTTAGATGGGATGGTCACGAAGACTTGCTAAGCCTGAATAATGAGAAGGAATTGCATTAATAGAGGATGTGTTTCCAGGCAAGACTGCGGTTTGTGAGGAGACATTATGATCAAAGGGAGCTTATGGGGCTGGGGATACAGCTCAGTGGCAGAGTTGTTGCATAGTATGTTTGAGGCCTGGGTTCAATCCTCAGCACTGGAAAGAAAAAGAACTTAATTAACTGTTGAATTTGAAAGAAAGCTAAAGACTAGAATTGAAGGGAATTATGAAAGATGAAGTTGTAGAGGTAAGCATGAATCAGATCGTACTACACCCTAGTGGTTCATGGGTTGTTTATAACCGTTCTTTTAATCCAGAGTAGCATAAAATGTCCTTAGTTCTTCCTTTATACTTGATGGAAACCTACCATGCCATCTCTCAATAAACTTCTAATTAATGCCTATTATGTGCTTTTTTTTTTTTGGTACTGGGGATTGAACTTGGGACATTGCACGTGCCAGGCAGGCAGTGGAACCACTGAGCTAAATCCCTGGCCCCTTTACTCTGTGCTTTTAAAATAAATAATCAGTGTAGATAAACAGTAGATATTTACACCGAGTTACATATTTGTATATGTGAGTCAGAGAATTTTCTAGACTATTAAATCATGGGTGGCTTCAAAAGAGAACCAATCCAAATAATTTTTTCCTGTAACTTGTTACCCAAGTACTGTGATATATTTTGCCAGTAAATGTTATGCCTATATTTAATGTGAGTGGTCATTCAAAATAATTTCACATTGAATTTGGGCCCTTAGTTATGACAGTTATTCTTGTGGCATTTGTGTATGCTTAAGACTCTCATAATCCAGGGAGAACTGAATTATAGTTTTGGAAAAAAAAAAAAACCTTTTAAAAATGTTTCTTTACTACTAATTAAAAAAATTTGATTAACAAAATTGTGGACTGTAAGAATTAACCTTACATCGCAATAATTATTTTAAATAATTTCAGTTCTTACTAGAGTTTTCAGCTGGGGATTTAGCTCAGTGGTTCTGCTGCCTATCTAGCAAGCACAAGGGCCTGAGTTCAAGATCCCTGGTACCAAAAAAAAAAAAAAAAAATACAAAAAAAAAAAAAAAAAAGAAAAGAAAAAGAAAGAGGAAGAAAAAATCCAAAAACTAGAGTTGTAAAAAGATGCTCAAAGGAGATTTCATAATATACATAAAAGGGGAAGTATATTGTGTGTGTGTGTGTGAGTGAGTATGTGAGTGTGTGTGTCTTTCTGTCTGTCTGCCTTCATGTGTATCTTAGTCAGGGTGCTCCCTCTTATTACTCTTTTCCCTAATTATCCCTAAAAACACAGCAATTATCTTTCTGATTCAACAACTTCTGACTCCTCTCTTTGTCACATTTATTGTTTGGTAAATATTTACTGAACACCTATTATGTATTAGGCGCTGTTCACTTTGCTATTAGCTTTGTAAAACATTTGTGTTTGGACATAGTAAAAGACTTTTTATCTGAATTTTTTCAAGAAATACAATTAATAAAAATAGCCCAAATCTGCCACTAAATTAAAATCTTGACAGGTACATATTATCTTCTCTTGCCGTTCAAGTGTATTATTGAAAATGTGTATGTTATTGTTTCTTACAGGTATGCTGGAGCAATGGAAAGATTACAGGCAGAGACTGAACTGATTAATAGGGTAAATAGTACTTACCTTGTGAGGCACAGGACCAAAGAGTCAGGAGAATATGCAATTAGCATTAAGTAAGTAGGACAAGTACTTTTACAGAAATAGATTTCCTGTTTTCATAATTGCATAGACCATCTGACGTGCATAACACTGAAGTTGAAAACTGAGGTTCTAATTGCAGCAGAAATAATGCATCTGTCCAGACAGTTCATTAATACTTGAAAATATCTGTTAGAAGACAGTAGTATGTGTTTTAGGCTGCTAATTGGCACATTACATTTCTTTCATAACATATTTTATTGACTTGATGTATGTACATTTCTAGTAAATTCTGAGGATAAATTACTAGATGTCTTATTCTTTTTGCCCCCTCAAAATGAACTTACTATGTAAATTAAGCATAATAATTAGTCAAACCCAACCTCCATCTCAATTCACATATTGGTTGTATCTTCAACCAATCTAGAAAATATATTTGGTTAATTAGCTGACACCATTGTATTGGCATAGATATATATTTTGTCTTCAGAATTAATTCCTATAATGTCATTGGGGCATGCCCTCTGGTAATTATTGATTTCTACTGATTAAAAACACATTTATATTCAAAAGTTATTCATTGCCCACAGGTACAATAATGAAGCAAAGCATATCAAGATTTTAACAAGAGATGGCTTTTTCCACATTGCAGAAAATAGAAAATTTAAAAGTTTAATGGTAAGTATTGATTTTTTCTGCTCAATCTATGAACCGTACTTTTTTTTTTTCTTGTTATAGAGGCCAGTTAAATTTTATAGTTTCTTGGACACTTTGTTAATGAATATTTATTTAAATATAATTATAGTGTAATTTTATAATAAAATCCTAAAAATTCTAACTTGAAAAACTCCAATTATGTTTTTTTTTTTTTAGTTTTTTTTTCTTTTTATTGAGTTTATTGGTACAATCTAGGTATACAATACAATTACATTCATCATTGGGATTCTGTACCTTTACATAATAGGTCTTGATTCTCATTTTCCCCCTTGTCCCTGCCCTCCC